TCCTTCCTTCCTTCCTTCCTTCCTTCCTTCCTTCCTTCCTTCCTTCCTTCCTTCTCCTCCCAGCAGCTTTTGCTACACACAGAATACAAGCTCTATTCTGAATGACAAAGTGTCCCCAACTGTAGCAGACTTGGGTTGGCCATTAATGCACTAATGTACTTCAGATGGGAAGAACTTCAAAGGGCTTTAGGCTGAACTGGGAAGAAGGGGGAAAAAGGGAGTGAGCAAAAAAGGCTTTAACAAGGACAACAGCTGGCAATTCCTTCTTCCTCATTGTTAAGCCCACATCATCCTCTATGGTTGCAAAGCTCAGTGCCTTCCCAGATGCCACTTGAACTCTAGCAAAAAGGATGAAAAATCCCATCCGTTGGTCCCTTCCCATCTCCAGGAATGAAGTGACCCTGACCCAAGTAAGTTCTCTGCAAAAAAGTCATCTCCCACACCCCCAAAGGAAGGTCTCAGGGACTCACTGCAGCAAGGCTTTTCTTCCGCCTTACACATTTTCGCTTCAGGGGTGTGAAGAGCAAATCTGACAGGTGACACTTCCCTTTTTCCTTCTGTGGTCCTCAGGCCAGGAATTCAGAAGCTACTTGAGAAAAGTCAGGTAGGCCTTCTCTAAGGATAAATCTCGGGGCAAAAATCTCTGGCGTTTGTAACCCGTTTCCCACGACAAATTGGGAACGTCTGATCTGGGGACCACGGAGACCTTGAAAATGGAGATTGCTCGGAGGAACTCCAAGCATTGCAACTGAATCATCTTTGGGCTGCACGCGACTGTAGGTGTGAAAAGGCATTTTATCGACATTTTCTGATGGCGAGCCTTTTCTACCCCACTCCGGCACAGATGGATGAAACTAGCAGAGGAGATCCCACAGGCTTTGCTCGGCACATGTAATCTGGCCCACCGAGCGACCCCAAAAGCAAAGTGAAGGCACTTGTAAAAAAAAAATAAAACACCACGAAAACAAATCTCCCAAAATGAATGCAACTGGTAAAACCCTGATAAAAGCTTTTTCACCCAGAGCCCTCAGGTTTTGGAAAAGCACGTTCAGAAGCTCTTTTCCTCCAAGGTCCACCTTGCTCTCCAATGCGGGCATCTGGGTGGAAGGCTGAGCACGATACCAGTGGAGCTAGGAAAGTAATACAGTTTTACGGAAATGCTTGTTCGAACTGTCTTTTTGCAAACGTCCCTTAAAAGCTAACCAACGATGCTTTTCAATCTCAACCATGGACACAACAAAGTGGGGATAAATCTTGGCTTTTGGATTCACCCCTGGGGGTAGGTCGCACAACCATGCTTGTTGACTAAAGTCCTGTAGGTGGTTTCACGCCAGCTTCCCCCAAACTGAAGTCCAGATGGGTGGACTTCAACTCCCAGAATTCCCAGCCATGGCCATATGGGTTGGAGAACTGAAGGTGTGGATCCATAAGCTGTTCTGCTAACAAAAATGGCAAGCATTAGACAATCTGGCTGTGGCTTAGCCAGCTATGGAAGCTCAACAATTGTGGTCTGCAAAGCATGGGCTTATGGACTAGTCCTAGAAGGACATGTTCAGCCATGGCTTGATATATGAACCCAACCCACAGCTTTTGCTGTTAGCACCCTGACTTTTGGGGCAGCACTTCTGGGGTGGATCCTGACCCAGAAACGCGGCCACCTGGGGCGAATTTGAAGTTGCCTCTAATTATTAAGCTCCTAAGCTTGCAAGTTGGAGGTCCCTCGACACAGACAGACTCCCTTCAGGAAAGAGGGGTGATGAACCCACCCCAGCCCCACCTAGTATCGCTGCAAACTGGCCTGCTATTGCCACGATAAAACCGGTGGCCAAACAAACAAATAAATAAAATAGAAAACAGAAGCAGCAGAGCGGTAACCGATAAAGTCAGCTCGGATCATTGGGTGACCGTGGGATAAAGCAGAGAGCTTTATCCGTCGTCCCAGATGGTCTCTCAAAATCCTCACTTTTGCGCCCAAACTGCAAAGACGATGTCATCCAACGCAGTGGAACCTATCTTCAAGCAACTTCCTTTCCTCTCCCTCCCCCCCCAAAGTTTTTCATGGCAGGTTGGCATCCAAGCTGGGCTTTGCAGTCCAAACCCAATTCAAGACGTTTGATTTCAGTGCTGGGTCAACACGAGAGTTGCCGACGTTCCCAGGCAAGTCCTCCAACGCGAGTGCATCTTCTTGCTTGAAAAAGAATTCCTCCAAATTAGGTGGCACCATGTTGCCCTCCGTAAGAATTTTTTTTACCCCCTTGTTAGCGCTTTGAGAGCAAAATCCACATTACGCAGCAGTATTCTGTAGTTTCACACTCACTTAAAGGAACGAGCGTTGTAAGATAATACTCTGAAATCAGACCATTTTTAGACAGGAGTTGTTGGACGAGGCTCTGGAACAAACGTCTGGCCTATCGTAGGGCCAAAAAGATGAGATGCAGAATGCCAGATTTGTCCATTCAAAAGGCAGGCTGTATTATTAGGCCTCCCTTGGTTAATTCACAAGAATATTTTGCACAAGGTTTCCCCAAGCAGGCAATCACTTCAGTACATGGCGCCCACTGCTTTAACTCACAGTAGATTAACAAAGTGCCGTAGCAGCCGTTTCCTGTCCGGCAAACCCTCTAATTTAAATAATAAATAAGTAAATAAATAGGAAGAAGGCAGGCAGCAGACTGACTGACAAATGTTGAAAAATAAGTTTAAAAGGCCCTCATCTTCAGTGTTCAAATGCAAGCAGGGAAGCCAAAGGCGAGCCAGTCAAGCAACGCCACGAGCGCCCATACAACTATAAAATCCACTCCACACTGTCCACAGTGGACTCACAAAAGCACCAGCCCTAACTTTGACCAACTTCTTCCCAGTTCGGATGAGGCGCTGAGCGACCCCGTGGGCACAACTCCAAACGCGTGCCGGAACCGATGGCAAGGGGATGTCCGAACTGGCAGCAGATGAGCTGGCCGATCGATCGATGGGAAAGACATGGAGAACATTGAGAGGATCTGTGATCATCTCAGCCCTGTTTTGTGTTTCTGGTTAAGGCATCTCTTTCGATAGACACCAAGTGAGAGGCCTCGCCTCCTCACCTTCAGACAGTATACTGTAAGTTTGGTAAGAAGTTTTTGGCTAATTGTGACGTTCACAGCTTAGATTCTGCTGTTGGCACAGCCTACGCAATAACCCCATTGCCGGTGTAGTTGGCTTAGATTGTTCCCGTTTCTGGATTTTTGTCATTGCCAATCTCGGTCTGTGGCATGAGATGAATCCGGCGATCACGCTGAACCATGGAACTCGAAGGTGGTTGAGTCTGGTCGAAGAGAACCAGGCGGCACCGGTCTAGTTATGGCGAAATCAACGATGGACACGCAGAGAGTTCTTGTTTTCTATTTCCTTCTGCTCTATTATTTCTTTTTAAGGAGATCCCCTCTTGAAACGGGCCCCTGGGGAAAGTGTCTGGACCACAATGGTCTGGGTGCAGCACCCCCTTTACAGAGAGCGGCTTCCGCAGGGGCCAGACCAAGCCGGCTTCGCGCTCCCACAGACGCTGCAGTCCGCTCGAGGCGAGGAACGACGGGGTTCTTCGTCAAAGACTCGTCGAGGACACCGACAGGGTGGGCGAGGAAGGGGGTGGGAAGTTGAGGAGTTCCAGCACCGCCACACCCACGCTGCTACGCCGGGTGAACATGCACGAGGCCGCCACCCACTTGTTGGTCCGCGGGTTGTACTTTTCAATGGAGTTGAGGCTGGAGCTCCCGTCGTTCCCACCGACGGCGTAGAGCCAGCCTTCCATGGCCACCAAGTCATGGGTGCTTCTGAAAAAACAAAGAGGATTACATCTATGGCCAAACTCTAGCAGCTGGATCTTACGCAGAGGGCAACGTAACCCTATAGGACTCACTTAAGACGGATGTCCTGGAGCAGAGGTGGCTTCAGGTTCCACCACAGGCTTCCTTCCTCTCTCTGCTTTTCTTTGGAGTTCTAAAACTATCCCGCGGATGGTTTCTTTAGAATCTCAAAAGCTCTTCCCCACAATTTTGCCAACCCTCAGATGGCCTTCATGCCCATTCTTTATCATCATATGCTGTAGTTTAGTCATGGGGGGTTCTAGATCTACTCGTGTTTGGAGCCGAATCCTGGTTTTCTTCTGTTCTCGCCTAAGAGAAGCAAGAATGCTTTCCCCCGGCTTCATCTACCATTTCTGTGACATTACTAAAACTACAGTGGTTGCAACAAGCCGGTGCAAAATGCCAGCGCTAGATTACTAGCCAGGACCAACCGCTTCAGTGGCAACAATCCTGCACTTTAGGCTCTGGAAAAGTCTCTATTTGCTTCCCAACTCACTTCTGTTGAAGCGGTGGGTTTAAGGCTTGGAGATCCCACTTCCAACATTTCCAGAGGCCCAGATTTGGTGGGAAGCAAGAGAACCCAACGTCCTTCTGGATTCTTCTCCCTACCTCCGGATATTCATGGGGGCGACGCTTTCCCAGGTATTGGTTTTGGGGTTGTAGCGCTCCACTGAGTTAAGGCAACTGGTCCCGTCGTTCCCGCCGGCCACGTACAACATCCCTTCCAAGACTGCCACGCCTGCACTACTACGGCGGCTGAGCATGTTGGCAATCGGCGTCCACGTGTTGATCTGGCAGGGAAGAGACAAAGAAGGGGAGAGTTCACAAAAAGAGTAAATCAGCTTCATAAAATCCTCCTCCCCTTTTTTTAGAGTCGTAAGAGACACACCTGAGGGTCCAGAGTTTCTTCAGATATTACCTCCTCTGCTACTCACAAGCCTCCATCTCTCCCTCGGTGGTCATGCCACCCCAGCAGGAGGGGAGGTCTGAGAATATGGCCCATGTTTTGCCTTTTCCCCTTTACCTGTGGGTCATACTTCTCCACAGTTGCCAAGTGTGAGGAACTGTCGTATCCTCCAACAGCGTAGAGGTTGCCATCTGCAGCGGAGGAGCAGAAGAAGAAAAAGCAACCTTAAGGGAGCACGCAGAGGCACCCCATCCAAAGCTTTGTTGGGCTATCCCAACAAAGGCAGAAACTAAAGATTTGCTGCCAGCTTTCCCCAAACTGATGTCTTTCCAATGGATTCAGCATGCAAATGCAAGGGCTGATTCCTGGACAGAAAAGGTTCTGGAGATGTCATGTCAACAGCCAGCTGCAAGCTTCCCCTTTATCAACAAGAAGACCTGCCTTCTTGTCAGATCTTGGAAGGCTGTTAGAAAGAAAATCAACCCTAATGTTCTTGGGGATACAGTGGTTCTGAACTGAAAAGAGTTCGGTTGCTGGGATCCTTGTAACCACGTCTTTTTCTTCTCAATAAATCTTGCTAAAGAAAACTCCGTGAGAATGAAGCTTGGAGAAGACTTAGTTCACGGCAGCAGCCAAAAAGTCTCAGCCGCTCTCAGAAAGCCACGCTTGCATGGCCATCAGAACCAGTTCCCACTTGTGTCTTGGCAGTTCATCACGCAGGGAAGTGGCCGACAGAGCCCAGCCAACAAGAGAAGGCAACTCGGGTGCTTACTTTCCAAGAGGCGAAGTGCAGGGGAGGAAGATGAGTAGCGCTTGGAAAACCTGGCAAACTGGAGCAGAAGGGCCATGCCCCTCAGAAGCCACGCCACCCACCCCATCAGCTACAAAACATGCCCTCCAAGGAGGCATTCCACAGAATGAGGATAGGAATCTTCCACAGTCTCTCTGATCCTCTTTCTAACTCTTTTTCAATCAAAAATGGCTACCTGTCAGCCTTACTAGGTAGACCAGACAGGACCCACGACCCAATGAGCTAATTCTACTCTATTGTAAAGCTACATGGACAGAATCTTGCAAGCTTGAAAGGACAATTCTCCCACCGTCTCCTTTACAGCCCAAGAAACAAGGAAGGTCCCTTCTCTTGCTCCATCCACTATCCATCTGTGGGCTATACCATCTCTTATCTAGGTAGCGTCTCTTGTCCCAGTCTCCCAAGGTCTTTCCCACATCCCATTACATTACGTGTTTAACAGAGACGGATGGAATATCCAACCGTTCTCGTTTGGCAAAGTTTTGCAAATGTCCATTCTGGTTCCCAGGCCCCAAGAATTCCACAACATCTCGTCTCCTTAAAATGGCAGATATTTTGGGACAAGTTGGTCTTACCTAATGTTGCTACCCGGACGTATCTTCTCCTGGTGCTCATAGCAGTGATGCTGGTCCAGGTGCCTGTTAGTGGATCATATCTTTCAGCACTGGGACATATCAAGAGAAAGAAACAGAATCAGTCACTCTTAAGGCCCAAGAGATGGTTCAATTTTAAAAAGGCAAAAGATTGGAAAGTAATAAGGATGATTTTAGGTGGGGCAGTTGGATCCTGTTCATTACAGACTTAAAGGTCCATGACTTGTTTTAAAGCAGTTTTATTTTTGCTTACTACCTTAACTGATGAATTTGTTTAAGAATTCATGGCTTTAAAAACAAACGTTCAAAGGTTCTTTTTTTACATGTAAAAACAGAAGAAAAGAAAAAGAAAAAAGAAGAAGAAACTTGTCACAGAGTAATCAAAGCTAATCTTACATGTATATCCAATCATATTACCCTCAAATGACCAAAATTTCAGTTAATGAGAAAATAAAGCAACAAAGAGAAATCAAACATATAACCCGGTAAACACGTCCCAAATGTCTTAACGCTCCACTTAATAAAATGCTTATTCCAATATAGAGAGGGAGATTCTTCAGATGGTTGTAAAACTGAAGGAGAATTGGTGTCCTTCCAAGTTGGCTTTTCTTCCCTTTGCAATCGTGAAAATGGACAATATCTATCTCTGGTTAGTTAGCAAACCATTGCGATATAATTGAAACCAACATGGATGTCTATAAAAACCAACGTCCTGCAGAACAAAATGAATATATCAACTTCTGTCCCAAAGAGAGTCGTTGTAGTATAAAACCCATCTTGGGGACCAAAGGTGGATTTTAGGGCATTGCTTCTTCCATGATATATGGTTCTCTCTCTCTCTCTTTTGTATGTTGCTATCAAAATGACTTGGATGATGATTTACACACATTTGGGTCCTCTGAAAAATGAGAAATTCGTCTTGAAGGTGTTTGGATGATGATACTTTTGTAGAAGAGGATCCAAGATCTTGGTTGGGATGGGGGAAACCTGGCAGATCCTCATGCTTTTAAGTAGCCTTTACCTATTCAGACATGATGCTCCATCGTAGCCTCCAGCAGCATACAGGAGTCCATGCAAGGCTGCGACCCCAAGGCAGCTCCTTCTGGTCCCCATGGAGACCTCCGTCTGCCACGAGTTGGTGACGGGGTCGTACGACTCCACAGTGGCCAAGTCGGACGTTCCGTCGTAACTGTAGAGAGAGATCTTTTTTTTAAAAAAAGGATGACAACATTGAAGCAAAACTTTGGAAGAGAATGAGAAAAGGCTATTGACAATGGTCCAGAAGCCGAGACGTTTTCCTCGAAGGAAAGTGAGATGGCCCCTGGCTATCTCCACACAGCTCTCTTGACTGCAACGTGGAAAAGACCTGACGTTGCCTACTTCTGAGATGGGATCTGGGTTCTGCTTTAACTGACTTTCCGATCTATCTCACGCTGGGTTTTCCTGGCGCTTCGGCTTCGGAGATCAGCCAAGGCTGGCTAAGTGCTGCCATCTGCTGTGGCAAAGATTTGCTCCCCTTTTTCTTAGGGGAAAAAAATCCACGGGGAGAGAAGTTGGAGAAAAGGGACTGAGGGAAGAAGGGATTCCATAATGCAGGATACCCCGAGCAAGCAAAAAATAAGCATTTCTTTCCACAGCAGTTCAAGGGTTTTTTAGAACTCGTTGCCACAAGACTTACTTGTCTCTCTCTCTCTCCCTCCTTCCCTCCATTTGTATTTATCCATCCATCCATTTTTTCATCCATCCATCCATCCATCCATCCATCCATCCATCCATCCATCC